TGTTTGACTCTTCTGGGGCTCCCAGCACCTGTGACATGACTCCTCACAGCTAACACCACCAAGCCCATTCCCACTTGTCATTAATATCCCGTGACACTGCCCTGCCTCCGGCCTTCAGTGCTCTGGTTTTCTGGATTTATTGTTCTGACTGGTTCGGACGAGTTACTGCAAACATGACCTCAACCACTTTTTATATATATATCTCAAGTGACAGGTGAGTATTTCACGCCCTTTACTTCAACGAAGTCTTGTACAATCTGTCACAACAATGCTTTCATAAATGTTAAATTGGTGACAGACCTGTAGAAGCCAACTCACTTTAACCACACTTTTCAAACCAGGCTAGTCAAAGCCTGTTGGAGTGATAGCATTTTGAAAACATAACATTTAACCATTCAACTATCCACCAGTAAGGCAGAACCATCAGCTGCTTTGCAATGGGAACTATAGGAAATCACTACAGAATGACTTCATCCATATGGGACAGAAACAATTTCTAATTTGACTGTGGCCTCCTAAACATTTTCTGACACTGATAAAAAGGCAGGCTGTTGCATAATTACTCACTGCAAGGACTTCTGTGTCCTACTTTGATACATAGACTGTAGGACAGTGTAAGGACAGGGCAGTAGTTTAGATGGATTAACTGTGCTTTCCTACTATGAAGGAATTCAAATACTTGGCGTATTTCAAATCTTGTGGGTTGGTCTCATCATTAGTTTTTTGTTGCTTTTATGTTTTCATTTGTGTGTTTACTCCTTGTTTTATACACTTCAATAGCTGGGAGAGGGAGTGAACCTCAAGGAACACACACTCTGCAAAAGTCAGCACAGAGCCCATCCCAATTCACATCACAGGAAAAAATTCTGACTGCTTTGGCCCCATCTCCAGAAGAAAGTTCAAGTTTCAGCTCTCTGACAGATGTTAGTATTCCAGTCACATTTCATGTTCAAACCTGCACGCTGAAAATTCGCTTCAGCTCTGCCACAGGCATCGGTAGCCAGATGGAGTGGACTCAAATGTGCCACTATCTCTGGATCACAGAACTGTCTGCCTCATGTGCCACACACTGATGCAGCACAACATTTTTGATTCACACTTTACTGGTCCTTTACCCACAATGCTTATTCTTGTGGTTGCAATTAATGAGCAGCAGGAATCTTTCTGTGCATCCAGAAGTCATTTTTCCAACCTGGCTTCCTAAGGAAGCTGACATTTTAACACATAAACATGCCTGTTTATGTGCATGCCATCATAACTTCTGCGTCCTCTGGTCAATTCTGAATAAATTTAACGAACTGAAAGAAATTTGCAATAACTTGCATGGAAAGGAACAGTCAGGTACAGGAAACCAGATATATAAATGTCTCTAGTAAGGAAAGGGTTGCAGCCTGAACTCAAATTTTATTAGACATTATAAAACCTATCTCTTAGACAGCAAGTATGAATGTCCCAAGAATGGAAAATGCTTTATTCAGAACATGTACCTATTAGAGTTCATTTAATTGCAATGTGAGACAGAAACCATCATCAATAGTAATGCTGTTCCCTGAGCTACTATGTTTACCTGTCAGTAAAGACCTTCTTATAAAGTCTATTGCACCACAGACTTCATGTGAGGAATTGACTGTTTTAAAATGCGTATTGTAAATATTTTATATTGCTCTCAACCTGATGGCAGAGTGACAAGGAATGCTAGGCATTCAGGATACCCTGGAGGGGTGAAAATAAATGATAGCTCTCACCCCAGTGCTGCCCTTTGAAGGGACCCTGGTTAGCCAGATAATGCTATGGGACAACTGTGGTTAAATCCCAAGAGAGCTTTTGGAGTGTCATCCACAGGAGCCTTGCTGAGAGCAGAGGTAATTAGTTCCAGCTGAGCACACAGGCACATCACTTTAGAAAGGTCTGGCCGCTTTTGCGCTAGGAGAAAAGGCATTTCTGTCTAGCAGCCAGGACAATGCACTCTGGAAACAGGAAAATGGCCTTCCTCATTTGTTTGGGGTCCAGCTAGGTGTGTGTTTTGGAGCTGCAGGATGGAATTGCATTCACTGCCTGTGAAAATTACAGTGGACAAGTGAAAAGTTCCCATAAAATACTATGCAGAAGTTTCTCTGATTCACAGGGGAGTCCTCCGAGATCTCTGTTCAGCAGCCTGAGGCATGGCCTCCCTACAGGTGTTCACAGCATGCTAGAGAGTTCCCAGGGACATATGTAAAGCTCTCTCTTGGGAAGCTTTCTTAAAACATCTAATCTAAACACTGCCATTGCTGCACTTTTATGTATATCTTTGTGTGGTCTGGCACCTGATAAAAAGTCCATTATTTTCAGGGAGTGAGTGTCACCTGGTGATACCACAGCTTCCTTGAAGGAGGTACATTTTCAGAGTTCATCCTTAGGTTATACGTGGGCTAGTCTTCCTGTTTGATGGTGTTTTTTTTTTCCCCAGAAACCCTTGGAAAGGCGTCTGAAAACCTCCACTCTTGTGCATCTCATTTGGATGCCTTTCCACTATAGAAGGTACTAGATAGAGCCCAGCTGTTCCTGGAGAAGTGACGGCTCAGCAGCTAAACTCCTGTTGTGTGCAGAACAGTAAAAGTGTGAAATGAATGCCAAGTATTGATGGAGTAGCTACAGGTTCATTGTTAGAAGGACCACTAGTGACTACTAAATGCCATCAGATGGTTAAGGACAGCCAGTTACAGTTTAATGGCTCCTCTCAAGGTCCTGGGAAACTAACTCATAAAAAGCATCAGGGGCCCACTACATCGCTTTATTTTTTAACTAGCCACAGAGGCATTTAACTGAGCATGCCAGAGAGGGGGCTCTCTGATACAAATGGATCCGGCTGAGCAAGACACACTTGCTGCAGCCTCTCTAAGGGAGAGAGAATAATTTTGTCTTCCTGTCTGCTTAGCTGTTGGTGTAGGTTACATCAACACTTTTCCTGCAATCGCAGTGGAGTCCCACAATTTACTGCAAGCTTCCAAAAACTTTATATATCCATATTCACTGCACACAGCTTCTCCAATGATAACCGCTATTGCTGAGCTGAGATTCAAACCTGTGCTTTCTGGATCAGCATGATCCTCAGTGGAAGGAGTCTACCTTTTTTTAATATTTAAATTTAGTGTCTGTTTTTAAGAGATTTACCATGCACTGTGACAGTTTTGTAACATAGAGTCAAGCAAGATCATTTCTTGCATACTTTAAGCCCATATTTAGCTATAATTAAGCTGCAAGAGTGGCCCTGTTAATGGCATTGTGGAGAGAGTGTGAGAGTGTGTTTTAAAATAAATCTTTTGGCTCTTACTTATGCCTACTCTGCTGAGGACAATGCTGGAAGAAATACTCAATTCTCTGCTCACAGTTCCATTCATGCAAGTGTACCACACGAGACGGAAGCAGTACTTCTTTCTAATGCTAATGGAATAGTTCATCAAACCTTGCTTTGCAGCTGGTTTTGGTAGAATATGAAAAAGGATGCTCACTTCTGCAGATTTGATGACATTGACATGCTTTCCTAGCACAAACCTTCCCAATATGTTGAGCAGTTTGAATTAAACCTTCACCCATGGCTTCCCAAGCACAAGGGAAGACATCAGTGTACTCACTGAACTGGCTGTCATGTGCCTTAGTGACAAGAACAAAAGCAGCCATGCATGTAGCACAGAACAAGCGTTTTCAATGGACTTGCCCATGCTAGCACATCATGCCATCACAGGCCTAACCTGCTGCTTGTGAGCAAGCCAGCATCCACCTCTCTCGGACCTGTGATACTTCTTCAAGGGCACAAATCACTCCCCATCCGTCTGCCCGGCCAGCCACCAGAGGGCATGTTATAGCTGCACCTCTGACAAGCTGAATAAATCATGGCTTACTGAAAAGGCGACCACTGTTTTATTCCCACTTTCTTTCCTTGTTTTCCTCAGAGTGCCTAAAACAGGCCTGACAAGAAAAAGACTATACAATACCCTTGGTTACACAGGGTCAGTTTTACTCTGGGTAAAGCACAAAGGTCTGCAAAACCATGTGCTTTTATACCTGTAGTCACTAGAAAGCACAGCTTGAATGCAGGGTCCTTTCCAATCTGGCAATTCTAGGAAGCACTGCTGAGACTGGAGGCAGTCCCTGCTGAAGACCTCACCATGTCAATGCAGTGGATTCAAACGTCCCCCCTGAAATGCTCAGATGTCTCTTAGTGTCGGCATTGGGTGGGCACCTATATCCAAGTTCTCCATTTGGCTCAAGGACTGAAGAAGCTTCTTGGGATGCAAGTCTAAACTCTCTGTGTCAAACAGGGGTTTTTTGTTTCCTCTTCTCATCACTTGCATGCTTATGTAAAAATCCCTCAAATTTACATGCTAATTTATTCATCTTACAAGCAACACACCAAAGCCATTTTGCACACACACATTTTTAGCTAAGGCTACCATGGTTTTAAATAATTAAAATGTAACTGCTCTCGTTCTCAGTCTAGCTATAGCAGTTGAAAAATGTTCAATGCTTATTTCAAACTGCACAGATAGTATCAGAGGATGAGCAAATAGACTACTGCTGTGTATGAAAAATGCATCACTTCAGCTCTGAAAGTAAGTCTAAAGAAGAGCTTAGAATACACCTGGTTCTTTTCAGATCTACTTTTGTGCCTTATAAGACTATTTAATGATGTCTTCATTCCTTCTATGTAAAATGTTTTGGAGCATAGTGTGCTGTAGGCCAAAACATTAAACTTATAATATATGTAAATGTGAGTGACATGTTTCAGATAAGGAACATTTTTTGTATTATTTATGTGTAACAGTTAGTAATTCAGTGAGGAAAAATGTTTCCAAAATTATCTCCTTTCTTGAAGTTTTCCAGTTTTTGTCTTTTAAATCAGCCCCTTTCATGTGGACTTTTTAGACTAAACAACACAAAATAAAAAGAAGGAAATAAAAGAAATATCTTGTCAAAATAATTAAAAAGCAGTACAGTTTTGCATGGATTTGGACACTTACCTATAAGTAAGATTACTAATGCGTCTGTAATGTAAAAACCAAAGAGAAGAGGCTTGTGCCAGACTTCCACGCCAACAGAACCTGTGAGCAGATATGCTGCTATTAATACCTATAGGAAAAAAGATAATGTAGTTTTAATCCTTTACTTCTAAAGACACGGAATTTAGCTTATCATTTTAATACAAGCTGTTATTTTCCTCCTGTCTCCACAATACAGGATCTTATGCTACCATTCCAAAACATGTACTTCTAAGCAGTGAAGCAGCTTTCAGGGTCACAAACAGAGTTATTTAAAACATATGAAATGTGGGGAAAACATGTAATTTCCCTGCAGTGTGTGCATCTGTCTGCATTTGGTAAACATTACAGACTTACCTTTTCAAAACACAAAAATCCCTAAATCCCTTTCTAATGTCAGGTCTCCCCAGTGTACATACACTTTCTTGTATCTGCATACAGACTTCAGAATCGGCAATGTGGTTATTCTTGCAGCTCAGCCCCCTGAACTGATCATATCAGAATAACTGAGAGAGGAAAAAAAAACCTAAGCTCACCTGAAATAATAATAATTGATTTCATGTGAATAAATAAAAAGGAGAGTGAGCTGAAGCCCTCCCTGATGTTTAATTTGTTTGAAAGATAGCATCATTACCGGGCACAAAAAGAAACACGTAGTCAAACATCATTAGGAGTGAAAGGGCTCACACATAAGACTCTTGAGTCTCTCTGAAGCGCTATCCATTTCAGCAGAGATGTCAATGAAGTTCTTACTCTCTTTTCAGAGATATTTCTGTGACCCGGCTGAGGTCAACAATCTTAATGCTGTCAAAACTCTACAGCTCCTATGGCGATACATTTCACATTGTATTACCTGTAGCACCTCATACATGGTACAAATTGGAGAAATCTTGCCATTTTAGGTGTGTAACATTCAAAAGCAGTAATGATTGTGTTGCAGTGGTTCCCAGCCCTTGTCCTTAATCCCATGTCCTCAAGAGAACATGTTCTACCTTGAAACCTGTTTCTTGGCTTAGCCCAGGCCACCCGCTTTAATTTAAAGATACACTGAAAACCTCCTTTTTAAGATAACCTGCTGCTTAAGATCACAGATTAGTAACAAACACTGATGTTGCTTAAACTCCTTATTACGTATAGATATTACTATATTTGACTTCACTTGCTTCTCTGTATCTATATTCAAGATTCTTCTCCTATCAGTATGTAGCTCTTCAAGAGTTTTCCTTGAATTGGCATTGCCAGGTTGGATGCTTGATTCACCTGTGCAAGAACAAGCAGCACAACAGATCTGCAGCGGAGAAGCACTAGTATGAGAGTTACATCTTGGGCCATTGAAGACAATGAGTCAAATTTTGGTCTAAATGAAGGACATGTATCATGTGTTTTGCAACTGACTACAGCAGAGCTACCATTTGGCTTTCTCCAGAAATTGCATTATGTTATGCATAAGACATGACGGATGGAATCCTGGCCCCATCAAAGTCGATGGCAAAACTCCAACTGGTTCTAATGGAGCCTGAATTTACCCTCACAAGTTGAATTCTCAACAGACTTTTTTGGCAAGTGATAAAAGAGGAACTTCGACGTTATCCGTTATTACAGTCAGTGCTTTTGGCAATGCAGTCATAAGCATCCCTGTCAGATGTCAGCACACCTCTAGGAACAGTAACATTGATGCAACAGGCTCTGGGGGAAAACCCCTGCCCTGGGATTTGGTGATGCAGCACTCACAGGTTAAGATTGCCTCTGATTTAACAGTGGTAGGGTATGAAAATACACTCATTGGCTTCAAATTTTTGGTGTGTTCTTTTTGAAGGAGATGTAACTTTGACTTCACTGAGGCAAGTCCCAAAGACCTCCTTTAGAAAGCTGGAAAATGGCTGTGCCCCTTGATCTAAGCTATAATAGCAGCTGAGTAATTTTTTACTCCTCATCTCTCTGGCATAGATCAGCTTTACTACTTTTCAGATACAAATGTAGTCTTTAGTAAGTAAAAATAATTGCAACCTTTTGCAAAATGGCAAGTCCAAATTAAATACCACAGGTCAGGACTATATAGCAAGTTAGTGTCAGACATATACAATCTTGGATTCAACTGCAGCATCTGGCCAGGAAAATCTTTGGCTTGCCAAGGTCTTATCTATGAGGAGGAGGAGTACTTATGCAGATAAAAATCTGTTAATTTGTAGGCCATTTGATATGGCTGAACAACAGGATAACTGGCTCCTGAGCAGTGGCTCCCTACCTTGCCACAGTTCTGTAAATCACAGCAACATAATCACATTTGTCCCTCTGTAAATTCAGAATACTTCTTTAATGTGGCACTGGGAAAATTCTATATTTTTTCTTCTTCCTAATGATTCATCATTTCTGTTTTACACACAGGTACATTGAGGATGCTGTATGATGTACCACACATTTAAAAATCAAACATTTTTTCATTGTTTTGAAAAAATATTCTGGCTGTGATTTTAAATCTTGTATGATTCCACAAAAAAAAAAAAAACAACAAAAACAAAAACAAACAAAAAACCAAAATAACCAAAATCCCCACAACTTTAATTTTACTGTAATATTCAATTTCACAAGTGTGTTCCAATAGTATTAATTGTTCAGGTGTTGAAACGGTTTCCATTAACACAGGGCTCAAACTGTCTGTGAAAATGAGCATATGGCAGGAAGCCTGAAATTTCATTTTATCAGGAAAGTTTTGTCTTTAGGTATTAGTTTTCTTTGATTGGGCTTGTGACAAAGTAAAAATGTTTGTTTTCACAAGATGTATCTGAGAACTTCTCACAGAACATAGCAAAGGTTTATTTTACAGACTTCTCTTCGTGACTTTTGGGGGTTTTAATAGGTGTGCTTACTCTAAGGTGTATGAAAAGTGTGTAGATGGTGTAAAGAGGCTCCTCTCCTGCATCTTTTTCTGCCCACAGAGGAGTTGGCACAAGGTAGCTCCTTGTGCTGGAGAGGGGAGAGAGGGGGAGAGTTTTCACTGTTGCAGACACCTCCTCCTTGATTCTGAATGCACAAAGCAAGCATTCCTCTGACCACGCATCTCTCAGACACGTCACAGACATTTTTCAAGTTTACCAACCGCAGCTTCCTATAAACAGCTGTCTGCTGTAATCAAAGCTAATTGGAGTGCCAATTACAGCCCAGCTACCGTAATTAGGTGCCCAATTCTGATGAGTCATCAACTCGCAGAAAACTGTGATCTGCATAAACCCCACGGATTTCTCTGTCTACAATGAGGTGTTTTTTCATGAGCTCTTCTAACACGGCAGTGAACACAGAGCCAGGGAGTGTTTACATACAGCGGAGCTGACTCAGCAGCGGTGTCCTGGGAGCTACATGCCAGTAATGTTTTCATTAAGGTCAACAGTTACCTATTTGCACACTTATACTAATGACTGTATTTCCTGACCTTTGTGGTGATAACAAAGTCCAAAGTTCCTGGCTACTATCAAATTTAAAAGCAGAAGCAGAGGGCTAGACTACCTGAATGTCTGACATGCCAATGTGATAGCATCATGTTGTTGGTGAAGTTACTCAAGACAGAGCAGAGAGGCGCATTTATGCAGCAATTCAGCTAGGAATGCCACAGAGGAAATAGTGAACTAAACGCTGGGAATCAGTCTGAAAGCAGCTTGTGAGTGCTACCACTCTGCCTCTGAATGTGGCTGTGGGAATATCTGGCAGGTAGGTGGCAGGGGAAAAAGCAGCAAAGGGAACGTTACCTTTCTTACTCATCATCAGCCATTTGCTTAGGTCCTCAGCATCCTCATCACCTCCAAGTAGCTGGAGATGAAGAGCTACCTTTAATAGTGGGTGCATCATACAAAATTTGCTGAATTATTGTACTGCCTTGCCCCTTACAAAACAAGGGCAAGGCAATTTTTGTAGGGGAATTAAGATCTTTTACTAGACTGGTGAGTACAGCTGAAAACAACCCAAACTTTCCACTGTGCGTGAAATGTAGTTTGAACTAATGGAAAAAATACTACCTTGATCTACAAGTCCTGTCTTTTCTTTGTTCATGGGCAATCACAGCTACAAAAGCTGATTTTCACAGGTGGGTAAACTGACATACAGAAAATTCAGTAGCATTGTCTTTCACTGCTGCTGATGATTGTGCATCAAAAAAATCCTTACATTTATATCCTTAGCATTTAGACTGTAAGCAAATCATCACAGAAGTTACTAGAAATGAGCATGTGGGACAGCAATTCAGTATCAAAGGGGGACAGGAAATAGCAGTTGTTAGCACCTTGCATCCACGTTAATCAAAGCAGTTTGCAAACTTTCTGAAATCCAGCCTCACCACAACTCTCTCAGGCAAGGAAATGTTACTACCATTATTTCCCAGATGGGAAAGCAGTGACAGAGGCATAGGTCATGAAAAGGCACTGACAACAGCACTGCTCCCCTAATTGATACCCACTCCCACATTTAACCACGAATATCATTCAGATGCTGTAGCAACCTAAAAGAGCTTTCTAAACATTCACATGTATATCTACAGTGATCATCTGAGCAGCAAATGAAATAGGTTTGAACATAGATGTTCCTCTCCTGCTGGAAGAACTTCACTAAGAAACCTTACACAAACATGGCTGAACCTTGCAGACCAGCTGGCTGCCTAATGTCCTAGTCCTGAGCCAACTTCTTCTCCCAGGACCTATTTTGTAGGGGACGAAACAGATGTACCACACCTGGACCACCATCTCAGTTGTTCTCAAACCACTGGATTCTGATTAGGTTTACAGCAATACATCTGCAGCCATTAATTTAAATACTGTATTTCCATTAAAGCACATATTTAAATATCTGTCAAACTTATTTTCAATTATATATATTTGGCTGTACCTTTCATCCTATGCCTGTGACAGGAAGATTAGAAGACTGGGACTGTGCTTCTCAGGCTGCAAGAACCTGGGTATCTAAGAAATACATAAGACAGCCCAGAAATCCCAGTGCTAGGCCCTTGGCAGTGCACTGAGCTTGTTACTGCTGCTGCTAATTTCTGCCTGGAGGCCACCACTCACCATGGTACCCTGGCATGTTTCTGAAGAGGGCCACCTCAAGCAGGGCTGTAAGCCAGTCAAGAACTCAGACGGACACTGGCTATAGGCTGATATGTAATTCACATTACTGAATGCCATTCCCAGAGTGGAAACCTCTAATGGTATGACTTACTTTTTTTCCAAGGGTAAAACTCACTTGAAAACAGTTGATGCTTGCTGTATAGGTACAATGCTGCTTCCATCACCACATTTGATGGAAGAGGTAGAATTGAGAATGTCTAGTGTTGTATAGCTGCATAATTACTATTAATAAACACTCCTTGAACTAATTCACATACTGCCTCGGAACCCAGCGTTGGTGAGAAAATTGCTTATGGCTTCAGATAGCACAATAATTTTTGTTAATACCACAAATCAAATGTAGTTAAATGACATTCTTACGAGCATATCTGACTGCTAGGCTTGCTGCAAGCCTTTTTTTTCCTGAAAGGCAATGAATCTCTAATGCTGACAATTTGCTTTAGAGCATCCCTTCCTTGCAAATGCAGGAAATATTTTTGAGTTACTTTTAGGGTTATGCTATTTCACATTCAAAATCTTGGCCAAATATATTTGCCTTGAGCTCTGTTTTTCTATTTCTGTAATATTATGAAAACACTAACACAGTTAAAAAAAAATAAAACCAAAGCAGGAATGATAAATACTTACCACTTGGCTTATGTCATATCCCCAAGGAAGGAAAAGAACTCCTGTGTTATATTTCTCCCAGTGTGAACACATAAAGTTAAACAAGACAATGCTTAAATATATATACATTGTATATACAGAAATTCCACTCCTCCCATTGTCCCGGGAACAGACAGAAAAAAACGAAAGCACAAAAATGGAGGTAGCCCAGCTATCCAGCCCGTGGTCAAATAATTCTCCCAGAGGAGTACTGGATTGAGTCCTTCGAGCATGTTTCCCATCTATGGAATCTAGAAGGATCAGGAAAGGAAACAAATAAAGAGTTAGAGAACAACAAAAGGAGTAACTTCTTTCACATACACTTCACTACTGCCATATATAACGTATGAGAAAAATAAATCAAAGACGGCAAACTGAAGCACAACTGTGGCTTCAATACCAACATGTTAGGATTGCTTGTAAAATATTTGCTTCAGTTGTCAAAAGATTTTTCTGTCCTTACCTTCACTCTTAAACTAAATGCCACCTTTGTTGTGAGCTTTAGAAAGACATTCATAATTAGTTGTCCTCAGTGGTCTTTAAACACTTTAATGTCAGTCCCTATGATCAGTTTCTCAATGAAAGCACTGAAAAGTGTCCACATGGGACTTCTTGCCCATGTATTGGTGTTGTGAACCCTCTGAGATTTCAGACCACTTATGGAGTAGTATCACTAAGGCATTTAGGTTGCCTGATGCCAAATGCCTCCATGACTAACTGTTATGTGGCAGCCAAATGTCACAAAATGTATTTGTGTGTGTACCTGCAGAAGATGTTTTAAAGAGTCTTTTGGTTGAAATCTTAAGGTGCAAGAGCCAGCAGTGTGCCCAGGTGGCCAAGAAGGCTAATAACATCCTGGTCTGTATCAGAAACAGTGTGGCCAGCAGGGTCAGGGAAGTGATTGTCCCCCTGCACTTGGCACTGGCGAGGCCACACCTCAAATACTGCGCTCAGCTTTGGGCCCCTCACTACAAGAGAAACTTTGAGGTGCTGGAGTGGGGCCAAAGAACCACAATGAAGCTGGTGAAGGGTCTGGAGAACAAGTCTGATGAGGAACGGCTGAGGGAACTGGGGGGAAAAGAAGGCTCAGGTAAACCCTACTGCTCTCTACAACTACCTGAAAGGAGGCTGTAGTAATTTGGGCACTGGTTTCTTCTCTGATGTAACAAGAGATAGGACAAGAGGTAACAGCCTCAAGCTGTGCCAGGGGAGGTTTAGATTAGATATAAGGAAAAATTTCTTCACCAAAAGGGCAGTGGCATTGGAACAGGCTGCCCAGGGCAGAGGTGGAGTCACCATCCCTGGAGGTATTTAAAAGACCCATAGGTGTGGCACTTAGGAACAAGGTTTAGTGGTGGACTTGGCAGTGTTGAGTTAATGTCTGGACTTCATCTTAAAGGTCTTTTCCAACCTAGATGGTTCTGTGATTCTACAAATACCTTACTGTTAAGGTGAGTTATATGTTGATCACTTATACTAAAGTTCTTGAAAGATGCCCAAACACTCTACTGGACCTCACTCTAAGGATGCAGCTGGACAATACAGTTTGAGTCAATCTGAGAGTTCACTGCTGTTGAACTCTCAGCCTGCTCAGCTGGTGGAAAGACAGCAAATATTACATTTTCTTCAGGGTCAGTGAACAGAACTGTCACTGTGCATGGTATAAAAAAGAAGGGAGGTGGCACCAGGGAGGAGCAGTGAATGCAGGGAGGAGGAGGAGGAGGAAGGGAGTTTAGCAGCTGTAATCTTTCTTAGTTGTATTGCCAAACCATATCCTTAATTTCTTCTCTGCGCCTGTGCTGGTGAGAAATAGAAACATTTTCTTAAAGTGAAGTGTAAATACACAGGAGAAATATCTTAGGAAAAAGTACACAGAACAAGCCTTACAGATTACTTATTGTTACCCTAAATATCAAAATAACATGGAGAATTTTGTTTTTCTTTATAATGTTATTTGGAAGGTACTGTAGCTAATAGTTATTAGTTATTGATCATTAGTAACCCAAAACTAACCAGAGATACAGCTCAGCAGAGGGAGACCAAAGACTCCACAGCTGCTATAGATCATATGCTACTTACTTCTCCAGATTATTTGGCAGTACTCTGAGTTTTGTTTAATGTAAATATACTTCAGGGATCTAAACCAGGAAAACATGGGATTTCATTCTGTACAGATTTTAGACCATCTCCCCATTGGAATACCTAAACATCTGTGAGATCTCCTCCTCTCAAATACAAATCTCTTGGGACAGTTCTTACAACTCTGAAAATTAGAGATCTCATAGAGGATTTCAAATATAAATTGTCAGTATCTTACTGAAATGTGCAGAAAAGAAATTGTATAAGTTTGAGGTTACTGGAATAGTGTTGCTACAAATGTAGAAATTCTTTTGTCTGTTAAAGGATATTTCTGAAACTTAACTACCAAATAGGTATGTAAATATCCCTAAACAGTTTATGGTCTTTTATATCTCAAGAACATTTATCCAAACTGGAGACAATTCATTTATAGGGATAAAACAGTATTTTAAAAATAAGAATGTTAAAAGATTTGTCTGTTCATATATTATTTTCAGTTGTCCAAAAGAATATTCATACTAGATACTGAAATATATACAGCACAGTGAAAAGAGTGTTTTTCATTTTGCAGGAATCTTAGTTTCACTGAAAAAAGTTAGGTTTATAATGGTGTCATAAAATACAGTGCTTCTAATTCTAATGAGCATGGAGAAAAATAAAGGAACTGTATCACACATACGTAAAATAGGATTTTCACAACCCTTTGCCCACATTTTCCATGTGGTTTCACTAGCTTTTTAAGAGACTGGAAATATTTTCTCTTTAGGTTTCAGTTTGAAACCATTCACGCCAACAACACTGTATGTTCAATAGCGAACATAGCCTGTATCACACTTCCATTGCTTTGGAATTCTTATATTACAGTTTTGTCTCATAAAGGTTTATAAATCTTCAGTTTTATTAAAGTTTACATAACTTTTAAATAGTGGAATTCAAAATACCAGCAAAGAGTACTCCATTTTAAAGACAGGGTAAAGATACCAAACCATCTTAACAAAGGTGGGAAAAAAGAGTATCATGCTAGGGAGTTTGATGAGAGTAACTGTGTCATTAAAAAGAAGTTGAGAGAGATTAGAACTGCATATTTGGTTAGTTATTATGGCCCTTTGCAGTCATCCAAAAGGAAAACTTTGGCCATGCAGAACTAAATCTGAGACTAAATATTTCCTGAAGTGGCTTGGAGAGCAGACATAAAAATCTGCAGATACATCAGCTCATTATAGCTTTGACTGTCAACATCATATTCCTTGTCTCCCAAGTATTAGGAACTATAGGCCTCATTGGCAAATAATGTACATTAAGAACCTCAGAAGCTGAATTTCCAATGAGCTTTCAGTGGTGTCATACACTAACAGCTCCAATATGTAATTCCTGTTTATAAAACAATAGCCACTTCATTAAATTCCATACAATTACATAAAGAATTATTTTCACAAAAGAAACTGCTGCTTCTGCTAATAATTAGAGAGAGTTGTCAGGGAAATCTGACTGGTAGTCAGACTCAAGGGACTGTTGTTCCAGTGATTTTTATGCTACAAATACAAAGAAATTCTGGACAAAATAATTTTGGCACAAGCTTGCCCCTTGAACAGAAATGCAAAGGCATTTACAACGCAGAGAGAGAGAGATGTCTGCACAAGAGAATACTCCCAGGTTAATCAAGATAGCTCTACATGCATGGGTCTGACACCAGAAATGGCCAGCATCTTTGCACAACATTGCAGTGTACATCTAGAACACATATATATCTAGCCTGGGTATCTTAACTATGGCACAAAAACATTCGGCTACACACTGCAGCGAAGGGTCTTGTAAGAACCAGCTCGAAAGAAAAGGTACATTTACACAGCACAGTGCAGCCCATGTAAATATACTACCTTGAGTCCCTCAAAAAATTAACTCTGTTGCACCACATTGTGGAGAGATTAGTTTGGAATGAGAGGAAGCAAAAAGGCCATGCTAATGTGGATCTCACTCCCACATCTTCATCAGCTCAGACCTACATCTTCACACCACTGCACAGCAAGGTGCAATGTACTTAAAAATACAGCCACAGTGTGATATAAAAAGTAAAAATGGAATCTTGAGACTGAAACTGAGGTGTAGGTGTTATGGGAGAAAAACAGCAACAGGAAATTAAAAAAAAACAAACAACTTCATCTCCACAGGCAGCTCAGGCCTGTCACCACATTCACACCATCTCTCCTGACATACACCTTAAGCAACGAAGCACCTAACACTCTAAAACACAGTGCTATGCTCATTTTCCTTTTTCTCTGCTGTAAAGGGTAACCATTATTTTCCCTGTCTTTGAAAACACCCTCCATTAATGCTTGTGTCAGGAAACTTCTCACAGTGTTAGCATTTGGGGCCAAAGACTTTTATGAAACCAAACAGCAATGACTACTGTTACTTAATGATTTCCATTGTTCCTCTAAAATAATTTGAACTTTCAAGAGGGATAAGAGCTACAGTCATAGAACCTCTAATATATAATTATATTAATTTATCCACGATGCCTTTTCATCTCAACATCAGCACTAGTGCATTAGTAGATAAAACTATAGGAAGATGCCAGACATGTAAATGATTTCATTGTACTTTACCTAAAGCATAAGCACAAAAGGTGGTAAAAGCACTGAACAGCCACACCCAGGTGGGAACAAGTCCAGGACTGGTACCTGAAATACATCAAGCAGTGAGTCAGTGTAACAGCAGTTAACATCAAAGAAATCCACTGAGATATGCATATACACATGAACAACCTGCCACTGATTAGCCCACTACATCAAACAGATTGAAATAGTCAGTTTTGACCTTAAGTCATCAGTAAGCTCCATCAAAGAAGCAGTGAGCAGGTTTGAATATGTATAAACTGTAAAGAACAGAAGGTAGAGGGGTTTTGGTTTTGAAATGACTCTGGTATTGCACAAAACAATGACAGTAACTAGGCAAAAGCTTTCACAGTTATGGGAAGACTATCTGTCTACAAATGAGTTAATATAATACTAAAGGGGAAAAAAAAAGTACTTTTCAAGCGTGATCATTATTATTAGTGCCAACATGGGGTTGGCGTAGCACTTTTACTGTATAGATCTGAACAGGAATTTATGTCCTTTGGACTGGACAGATATTAGCACCTTTTTTTTTTTTAATTTCCTTGAAAAAACAAAAGAAAGTCAAATTGGACAGAACCCAGGGTTCAATTATTGCTCTGCTGATAGCAATAATGCAAGGTTATAATTGGTTTTAAAAAAAAAAACAATCCTTGTTACAAAGAGCATTCTATATTACATTAAACATAATTCAGCAAGGACTGCACCAGCACTAAACAACCGTAAGCACAAAGCCCTCTCAGTTTTTTGGCATTCGGCACCAAACACAGGGAATGATTGCACACAGAGGTGTGCCCTTGCTGGACAGGGAATCACCAGTACCTAAAGCAGTGCCCTCATCAATGTCTCATCTTGCCACTCTGAAAGAAAAGATGGCAAGTTCAGAGTCCTAGCTGCAAATTTGCAAACTGTAGAATGAAAACCAGCTGTCCAGGAAATGAAGTCCTTTATTTCTGATCCTAGGTATGGGGTCGATATATGATACTCAAAAGGCTCATAAGGTTGCATGAACGGTTTCAATCAATTGAGAAATGATGGGCGCTGTTCTCGTGTGAAATGGAGGTTTCATACTATACATAGAGGTCCCAATTCTAACAGGCTTAATCACAATTTTAAATGTCTTCAAGTTCAATGTGTGCCTACTGGGAACGTGTCAGGGTAAAATTATGCCATTCAAAGATCTACGCTGGATGCTCTTTTGTTACAGAACTTAGTAAATATGAGCTACATTGATTTAAAAAATCCCCAGAATGTATAAGGATGATGCCAAATAACTACATAATATCCTGGTACTGAAAACTTAATGCTCATACAGGGTTATTTTTGAACCAAAACTGCTAATAAGCATCCCCGCCTCTAGAACTGTTGTGATAAATGTACAAACAGCTCACCCCAGAGGGTACCTCCTGAACCTAACCACAGGTGTAAGAAATGAAAGACAGCAAAAAAAAATCCCAAACATAATCGTTTCAGGAAATAAACATGTTAAATCTTCACCAAATTGTCTAGTTTAAAGAAAAGCAAAGCTTTTTATACATAAATCGCCTGGGAGATGCTTACTACTTTCTGTAGGCTCCAAGCTGGTCTGAGAGGCCCAGAACTGAATGCTAAGGAGCAATTTGCTCCAAAAAGCTTTTGACTTGGTCTGCCATGAGGAGCACATATGGACTTGGACTTCAAAAGTCATCATTTCAAGAGGCATTTGTTTAGAAACTATTTCTTCTTTGTCTAGAAGCTGTCTCAAATGAAGGGTGGAGTAATTAAAGGGAAATGAACTTGTTCGGGCACCCATTTAGGTATTAGGAAATGCGAAACCCATTTAATTTCTATGAAGAACATTAGTGTTGGTTTTGGCTGTGTACTTAAATCCTGGAATACACTTTAAATAAAATGAGATGTTATCATAGACTTCAAGCAGCATATGCTGAAACCCATACTTAGGGAGAAAACTAAATATGATTTTTCTATAAAATGATCTAAATTTATAATGCCATGTGTGAAGTCAGATCCTCCTTATATGCACATGGAGCTTCATTAAGGGAGTGAGTGGAAGATCCAAGTATCTGATACTTCCCTGTATAATTCAGAAGTATGACATAAGCAGCTCACTAATCATACAACATGAGGATATTTACCTGAGGCAGTGTAGTCCCAGTCATAGGAAGATATTAGAAAATAATTTACTAAAATCATGACAAATCCAGAGAATGTTAACACATTGGGGGCGATCCACAAAGGCACTATCTGTTGAAAAGAATGAAAAAAAATGTAAGAAACATTCTATTTCAAATTGCAAGTCCTACTTTAATTAAATGCTTTCTATATTTTATCAGGAAAGGAGAAGCCTGTAGGTGACATCAGCGGTGTTCAGATTTGTGCATATTTTCCCATTTTCAAATTAAAATACAGTTTTCATTTCTGAAATTTATTTTCAAATGTAATGTTCTTGCCTGATTTTTGTGGCTGCAATAAAAATCTCATTTTAAAATGTTGTATATCCTATGCTATACGTTACCCTTCTTTTCCCAGCCACCGAGGAAAGCTACTTGCAGTTGTGTGTATCACAACTGAAAGAAGGCTGCAGCACCCCAGTGTGGTAATTCAGCATCCACATGGCAGGTTTTTTAAGCATTCTATTCCCACACTACAACAAGGAAATTTCCTCTTCTAAAAGAAGTCAATAATTTCCAATTCAATACATCAACAAAGTCAGGCATTGGGTGCATTACACTTTTAGATTCAGAAGATCTCCCTGTTTAAAGCAGTTACCTACTTCTCTGGATAGTAACTTTCTGCAGGGTCTCGCTCTTAAGTCATAAATTATAAACACTCCATTAATTCATTTTACTTTGCAGAGTGCTGAAAAGGACTCTCTGACTTTGCCTAAGCCTCTAATTCTTTGCCCCATTAACTGTTCTCAACTCTCCATCCCCTGCAGCTTTAAGGTATTCCTTACACTGCAACAGGGATCCTTTTTAATAACACTCTTCCCAAGCAACAGTTTCTCCAGAATATTTTCAGAAACAACATATACAGCTTCCTATGTGATTTTTAGACACGACATATTTGCAGTAATACAAGTATCAATCACTACCATCACTAAAATTCAGCATCAATATATTCAAATTATATAAATATTGGAAACTTATAATCAAGTTCTTCAGAGTGTCTAAGGCTTAAACACTATAATAAAGTACACTATAAAATATTGCAAAACAATATTAAAGAAAAAGTTATCATTTCAGATACTAATGATAGTTTTGAAATCAAATGTCTTTTTAATTTTTTTGGACTAGCTAGATGGACAGACATGAATATATATTATTTTGTATACATATTTACATTTCCTCTCTCCTATTACTACATGAAAAAATTGCATATGAATTTGAATGCTTGGACTGACTATCCTGACTAGATCCTCTTTTTCTATTATAGAACAAGTAACAACATTCAGGAAAAAATGTGCAACTGATGTTGTACAGTGTAAACTTTCAAAACTCACATGAAAATTCCTGAATATTCTTCTTAGATATTTTCTTTAATAACATTGGGAAAAATAAGAAATCTGATTCACTTTCCTTATGAATAGGATTTTGTCACTAATTTTAAGATACTGTATGTCAGCTTTTATAGTATTTAAAATACATCACGGAATGCATAGAGCTGCAATTAAAAAAAATCATGTATCATTCTGAGCTTTCAAAAGCCCAATTCTAAATCCCTAAGAACAACTGACAGCAAGCATTCCCTGAAACTCCTTCAGGAGAACACCTGAGGAGGAATCCTTCACTGCACAGTCCCCTCTTCTTACAGTGACTGCACGCTCAGCATGCTGCAACAGCAGCACATCTCCTAATTTTGCTACCAGGAGATGCAGAAACCTTGTAAGATGGAGGCTTGGTATGAGTTGCCTGCTGTGGAATTTTTCTGATGTCTATGACCTTACATGAAATAAGGACAGATACTCAAGGAATTACAGATCAGCCTCTTTTAAGCTAAAACCTAGATCAAAATAGTGCGTTTAAGACAACCTGTGGATGAACCTTTTACATGGATATACAGATGCCATCCATTATATTGTTTTAAAATGACTGATTTCTCCTGTATGATTCATAATAACTGTTGACTATTAAATAAAGTGGAGCAACATAAGTATCTGCTTTATAATTGGGCTCATCATTCTAAATAGTCACAATGCCATTATTAACTTATTACAGGAAATAATTTATGCTTTCACAGTGCAAACATGAAGAGGGTACTTTAACCCACTTTCTTGCTAACATCATGCATTTTAAGAAAGAAACCATCAAAGAATACTTACAATCCCTTTGGCTAGTAGACACACCATGAAAAACAGTTATGGGAGATCTATCCCCTGGAAAGCAGCCTCTCCTGCAGTTAAATCCCTAAGCACACTCTTTTGATCTTAATAAACCTAATCTGTCTGGGTATTTGGAAGGTATCTGGAAAATATTCCAGTTGCAGAATCCCTTTTGTTACATTTAATGCCCCTTATTCTTTTGGTTGGTATTACACTGCCATCACCCAATTTCACAATTCAAAAATTACAAGGTGTTAAAGACTAACTTTTATACCTGTTGGAAAAATAAATACAGACTGAATTTACTAGTATCCTACAGAACAATATCTTGCAATCTTTATTATCTAATTAACACGCAGTAGAAATCTAACACATCAATGCACTACATGATTAATACAACTGGAGATGCCTCTGGGGAAAATCACATCTGCTTTCCTGCAAAGTCATGTTAAAAAACTTCAAGTTCCACAAAATGCTCATTTCAGTTTTAATGGGTCCATGGCCATTCACGCTAAAAGCCTTAACACACAGAGCAAATGTTTAAATATATGACCTATTTGAATAATAAACGGTAAAGTATACATGTTTACGTAAAGCTCTGTTCAAACTTGAAATATTCCTTCACTAAGTCACTTGAGACCACTAAAACTCTATTCATGCCCAATTCTAGTGATAAAATCAAAGGTTAAAAAGGCAAGAGAGGGGGAAGTAATTGACTTCAGTGAAGCTGGCACACACCTGTGTATCCCAGTGGGATTTCCTCCTTTTCCTCTCATTGTCCTGCATTAATGTGATTTCAAATGAATACAAATAGAGGAGGAATATTCAGTTTACGTAGCCAAGTAGTACTATCCATTGTGTGTCAGAGAGTACATGACTGTGCTTTACTATAAAATACAAATCTTCTAATTAAAGGCAAAAGGACAGAACATTCAATTAATTAAAGACAGAATACCTACAGTTGCAAAATCAGAACAGTTTTAAACAACACACAGAGAAAGTTAATTGTTACTCCATAGTTTCCTACAGGTGTATAGTTTCATACAATGTGGAAAAGCTCCCACAGACAGGAGTATCTCAGAATACTTCAAGCCCATTATAGAATTCAGGCATTAAACATTACCTTTCACTTTCTGCTTCAGCATCAAATTCAACACATTTCTGAACTACATACATCCAAAAACCACACTGAAATTGACACACACACATGATACAGTGCATAAGAAAGATGTCCTTGGAAGAGGAAGGAAGGTCATGCTCAGGACTTTCAGGAAGATTCCTAACCTAAATGCACAAATTCTTTGCTTTCCTAGCATCCCCACCACAGGTAAATGAGCTGGGTTATGATAACAAGTTTTCATTTCTTATTATGTCAAGATCCCAACTCAGAAATTCCCATATCACGTCTAATGTCAGGCTCTTCTTAATTTCTCATAACATAGGAAATACATCTTACAATGAATGATAATGTCTCATTCATAGAAGACATACTTTCCAATGAATTCTGTTGCAGAACATAGACAAGCTTGTGTTGCAAATAGGACTAAATTGACAGATGAAAGGCCAGACCTAAATCCCAGACCTCTGTTCTCATAGATTTGTTCGTTTGTTTGTTTGCCTGGCTCTGTGAAGTTTAGGTTGTTTTAATGCCTCTAGAATGTGGTAAAAATAGTCCCTGTGGAATGTTTATTTTCACCAGATTAGAAACTAAAAGCTAACTGATTCATATGTGCTCTCCCAATTCTGATTTTTATCTCAAGGAGCAATCAAGATGACTCTACTGCAACCTCTAAACATACCGCTTTCCCCTCTGCAGCTGTGCTTTCCCAGTTCCTCTGCATGACTCTGATTTTACCTGGCAGTATTTTTTATGTTAGAATGACTACTTCTACAAAAACTGAAAGCAATATAATTTCCCTCTAAATCCTTGTGATAATCACTGAGAATTATCGTGCAATGCTCTGGCACTAGAAGGCAAAGCAGAATGTTCATTGCTGTATCTCCAGGGTTCAAATCAAGCCAAATAACAAAGTACAGACAGTGCCCACTCCAGCCTTTGATTCTGTACTCAGATCTCCCAGCTTTTGAAATAGGTTTTCAGTCCTGTGCTCTGGTTTAGGTTCTCCTGCAGCAAGAAGTGAACAAAATCATGCTCACCTAAAATTTAAGGAGGATTAAAAAAATCTAAAGAGGTAGCATTCTAATAGGATCTATCACCTTATGCTGCATGGGTCAAGAATGTTGCTTTTCTTTTGGGAAAACCCTGCAACCATTTGAAGAACTTATCTCTAAAGGAAGTTTTTAGCTGATAATACTCTCCCTTGAATCTGACAGCAGATGAATACCCATGGATCTCCTAAATCAAAGTGAAAGCACACAGTACAACCTCTACTAACCTCCTGAGCCGGACTCCAGGATGCTGAGCGGGGTGTGGGGGGGTGTGGGGTGGGGTATGCTTTTCTGCTTCATTGTTATCCTCAATATTATGATTGGAATGAAAACAGGGTGTTTTAGCTGAATTGCTGAATTCAGTTTCTCATCTTTCAATAGCTTTTTTCTCATACCTTGTGTGGGTTGTTTTTTAAATCTTGTTAGGTCATATACACACTTTCATGAAATTAACATTGAGGTTATGAGCAAGAGATTGATTTTCCTGCTATATCAAGCATAAATGACACCTGAATTATAGAACCCAAGGACGGCAGATCCAACAGCACTCTGACCACATACATCCTTTTTGTTTGTATATAGGCTTGTTTTCAAGTCTGCTGCACTTTAAAGATTTCCCCTAAGAAGGCAGATGCAGAAGTCATTGATTCCTTGGAGATCAATAAGTTCATATTTATTTCAGATAACGTTGTTGGTTTTGTGTTTTTTTGCCAACAACATCAAAACTTATTGTGAGCAGGTTCATTTTTAAAAACCGCATATGATAATGCATTCAAGAGATCGTTACGGTGATCATGGTAACCGCTCTCATTCTCAGCTTCTTAGAGAAATGCCTAGCTCCCCTGAGCAAGTACTCTTGGGAGAAAATGAGACAGTACTTGCATAAAATCATGTGCACAACACAGAGAGAAAGCCAGGCTGTTGTTAGGTGGCATATGCTGCACAAAAATAATTTGTACTCAGTAAACGCATCAATGTCTGCAAAGCTGTTTAGTGAAAGATGTAATAATGAAAGATGTAAAAAAGAAACAATTCCTTTTATACAGTGATCAGAAAAAAATTAACAAACCTTATTTTTGTAATAAAAACCCACCTCAAAATCCAGACATACTCAAATACAGCTATATATCCCAAAACATGTTTCTTATATACAGATATCTTAATTTCAGCTTTACTGATCACTTTGCATTTTTAAATGAAAATACATGCCGTATTTAAAAAAGAATAAATAAAATCTGACATCATCATGTAATATTTCAATTAAAACAAAATTCTTACCTTAATAATTTTGTTCCAGATGGGCTGCATAATATACACAGATAAAGGATTTGTATCCACAGCATTGTACTGTGAGGAAAAAAGCAAACACATCAAACAAAGCACTGAACAATGCATGTTTTCCCATCACTTTATATCTTTCAGCATCTAAGAACAATCCCTCTGAGTGTGAGTGGTGTCCATTTATTTTACTCTGATGACTATTCATACAGCTTTAATTTAATTTAAAAGCACTGGCCTGATTTACAATTATCTTGATAGCAACTGCATGTACTAACACAAAGGTTTAGGCTTGTGAAATGGCAAACATTTTACTTTTAAATTCTTAATCATTTTAAAAGTTATCCTATAAGACTCTGCACGTCTACCATATTTTGGATTTAATACCTTTATTTGCACTATTAGTAAAGCATAGTCTGAGCAGCAGTTCACTGCTAGTACTTGGAATATATAGCGCATACAGAATATGGTCTTAAGCGGAATTTTTTCTCACAGAGATACATAGCTTCTGACATAGTAACACAGTTGCATTTGCCTTATGGTAATTAATGTAAGGTGATGTTATGATAAAAATAAGCTCTAAATTAGCATAGTTCATTACCACAGTAAAATTTACCTATTGGAGTGATGTGCAAAACATTACGTGTATTTGTAAATTCCAATGAGTACATGTCTGTTTCTTTTGCAGAAAGTATTTCAGAAATCCGAGCCCACCCCAAATTGCTGTTGTCTACTTTTTCCTCAGAGGATAGTATCAAGTTTTATCCTGCCTTAAGACTGCAGAACACAGAACAATCTGATAATACCACTCACAACTACTTTCTTAAGTCCACAGTGGAAGAAATTAGTCATCATTGGGGTAGTATATGTAATTCTTTTAGAAATACTTCGACTTTGAAAGTGCTTATATGGCTTATGTTGTTATATGCATATGACTCACATAAAGATTCAGATATATCTATACAGCATTGTCCAAATATCACCCGTCAACAATGGGAAGAAGATAGAATAGAATTGCTAAACCACAATTTGTCAAAGCTGTTCACATGCAGAAGCGCTGATGACAGAAAGGCTTTCATGTCACTTAACTTCAGCTAACAGCTAATTGTTCTCTCTCTAGTTAATTTATTGGCCTCTCTTAGCCAATTACCCTCTGGATGAGATTGCACTCTGGAAGTACTTGTTTCAAGTCATTAGTTCTCAAAAGAGCTTAGACACTTGTCTTAAATTTAGGCATCTTTTAGATGACTAAAGTCTGGCAAGATTAACCTCAGTTTCAGTATCCCCATCTCCAAGCTTTTACACACACACACACACACACACACACTTAACCTGCACACATCTGAGCTAAGAGCTCTCAGTGGACAAGTGCAAGTGGGACAAAAGATGAATGCAGCATGCTTCAGGTTTTGAATGCACAGTCTATGACTTTTCATCTAATCTTTCTGAGGATATCAGGCTATGGAGTGCTTAAGAGCTCTTCCACACATTTCCTTTTTCCAGTTGCATACAAAGGATACATTTTAATTACTTTCTGGGCAAAACAAAGCATTTCCATAGTTGTCCTGTAATTTGTGGTTAAGTTTTAATCACAGATAATAAATGCATTATGCTTATAAAATTAATATAACACAGTTACATGTTCATATAACAACTGGTCAGACCAGGGAGACTAACTTTCAACATGGAATAAAAAGTACAGTTTAGTGAAATGTATATCACTTTTTTTTTTTTTCTAAAACTACTGGAAATGTCACTTAGGTATATCATTTTTATCTGCTTCTGCCACCCATATTATTTAAAACATGCAACAATTCTGTCATTGATGGGTTTTCTGCCAGAAATTCAGTGAATTCAGCCATACCTGGGTAAGGATGCATAAAGGTCAAAATATGTGACCTTCACTCCTCCTCCTGCTTTGGCTTTCTCCTTTTCCCCTCCATGCCAAGCCTTCAAAATCATGAATAAAATCACAAAGTCCTAGTTAAATAACAACAGTAAAACGATGCTTTCTACCCAAAATACTCACCAGATGTCCAGAACTATTACTTGCTCCCAGGAATTAAAAAAAAGGAAAAACAATTTAATTTCTTTAAAATTATTTTCTTAAATAGGAAATATATGAGATTATATGGGGATTATTTAATTTCTGTGTTTTCTTAAATGGAAACTGCAAGAGATTATGCAGCTTTCCAACATATCTCTATATGAGACATGAACGTAAGACAGCCAGCTTTTTGTTTGCTTGATCGTCTCCAAAGTCAAGCAACAAAAATTGAAACAGTCATTATTAGAAAAAAAAAGTAGAATTACAGTGTCCTGGGTTCAGCAGTAGCAGTCATTTTTCTCCTCCTTGGTAGCTGGTGCAGTGCAGTGTTTTGACTTTCGGCCTGGGAACAGAGCTGATAACAATGATGTTTTGGTTTGGCCAAGGACTTTGTGAGCCTCATGCTCTGCCAGGGAGGAGGGGAAGCCAGGAGGAAGCAGAGACAGGACACCTGACCCAAACTGACCAAAGCGGTATTCAATACCACAGCACGTCATGCCCAGGATGTAACGGGAGTTAGCTAGAAGGGCTGGTGGACGACGGGGTTTCAGGAGGTATCGGTCAGTGCTTGGTTGGGCTGGGGAGAGGCAAGTTATCGGTCGGTGGGTGCTGAGGTGTTGTATTCTCTTCCCTTGTTATTTCCTTTATCATTATTATTATTGGTGGTAGCAGCAGTGATTTGTGTTATACCTCAGTTACTAAACTGTTCTTATCTCAACCCATGGAAGTTGCATTCTTTTCGGTTCTCCTCTCCATCCCTCTGGGAGCAGGGGGAGGGAAAGAAGGGGGGGAGTGAGTGAATGAGTTGTCTGACTGGGTTTAAACCACGACATAGAGCCAGCTTCTGTCATTCATCTAAAGACATTTCAAGATCCATCACATTTCATCCTGTTCATTTCTATGTCTGTGGCTGAGCCGTGGTCCTCTGGGCAAGGAAAGAACATTCAGCAAATGCGCAGAAGAACGGAAATTTGCTCTTCTCTCATCAGTACTCTGTTGTAGCCAAACCAAAGGAAACACCCATGGAAAAAGCATACTGCTAGCTTTCTGCCACAGCAAAAATAAAACTTTAGAAATAGAATCTGCTATACAGTTTAATACTCTGCTTTGCTCTGCTCCCACAAAGCTGCTAAACTCAAGGCCATGAAATCCTGGAGAGTTTAATGTTCACAGCTGCTCAGAAAATGAAATTACTGAGTAAAATGTTCACATTACGATCAATGGAGATGAATGTAAGAGTGCACTGAACCTGATGTTAAAGAAGTACTGCCATTTCCTGTTGCATAATTCTGTCCTTTTCAGGACACTTACAAAGTGGAGGATAAGCACATTGGAAATTCTTATGTTCAAGAATGATACAAGTGCTAAGTACTCCCCAGCAAACACTTTCTCCACTAGAAAAGGGATCTTTATTGTCCTTATACAAAGAAGAATGACTTGAATTAAGCAGAAAGCTTCTGTGTAAATACCTTTTATAAGAAGTTGTAATACTTGGGAGGGAGGCGTGAAGGAATAGGAAAAATAGCATTAAACAACTCTATCTTACTTCCAAGTCTGAAAATGCTTCTGCTGTTTGTTTTGGTTGGGTGTTTTTTAATAGCTGATAACTCATTGAAAGCCATCTGCTTTCCCTCTCTGGATTACAGATATCTTCTAACAGAGCTAGAAATGAGAATACAGACACCAGATACATGTGCACAATACACATTGATTCAGGCAGCACACTTAAGATGTGTTTTTACTCTGTGTTCTTGCATCTTAATCTCCATCCAGGGAATCCAGCACAGCACCAAGTCTGTACTGGTCAGCTGCCTTAGAGGGAAGAGGATAGAGAATTAAGGTGAAGAGGAGAAAAGGGGAATGAACAGTAAGAAAAGTAAGAGTAAGGAAATACAAGTAATTGAGAAAAACAAGAGAAAGAAAAATGACCCAAAACAAAGGTCAGAAGACAGACAACTGTTCTGGAGTGGCAGGGCAGAGCCAGCCCACCTGTGGGTCAAAAGCAATCCCAGTGACCAAGGTCTGCAGTGCTAAATACAAGATGAATGGTAACCTTCTGGCTCACATCCACACAGCTTAGAAATACCTCTCCTTATTGCAAACTGGTCACGTCCATACCTCATGGTATCTGATGGAGGGTGTTTGGGCCTCATTATCTGGCCCCACACACCTGAGAAAATATTAGCAGTGAGTACATTTCAGTTCAAAGTATCTGAACCAATCTAGAGACTACACTGTAACCCAGCAAAATGGCAGTCACAAGGCATGCAAGTGAGCATTGTGCACATTCAAAAATCCAAATGCCCATGTTGGGCAAGAGCTGAAGGATGGAAAAAGCCAAAAAATGGTGCGTAATACCTCCAGAATGGGCCATTTCCAAAACAAAACCTACTATTGTCTTGGAGAGACCTTTGGAACAGAAAGAACCAGGGAGTGAGCTAACCATTAATCAGAGCAGCCAGCTGGATGGACCTCCACTGGGGTTCCTGGCCCTCACCAGCCTTGCACTGTAGAGGTATCACAATAATAATATTTTGGAATGACTACCATGAAGAGGAGGATACAAAGCATACCTGCACAAACTTCAGAGTCAGCAGACAAAACAAGTTGCAAGGAATGTAGTTGCCTTAACTGCTGGGAAATAGTTAATTCAACTCAGGCTGCTCCTTACTCTAACAGACTATTCCTTCCTTGTACTAAAATTATCTTGTTTCAGGTAGCACCATACTGTGTCATACAGTCTATACATTCAGAGATACAGAGTAAAACGGTTGTGCATCATTTGCATTTGAACTGTTGTCATTCAAATGACTTCGTAGGCTTTAATTCTGTATTAGTAGCAACAAATTTGCAGCACTTCAAATTCCTGCCCCAAAATCAGCAGATTTTCATTGAATTCATGAACTAGCACATGATTTATTATCTCCATTGTATAGGCTGGAAAACTGAGGCACAGAAGGGCTGTGATTCACCCTAAGAGTATATAGCAAAGGAGACAGCCCATTATTGTTAAAGGTGTCAC